TGTGTGTGTGTGTGTGTGAGAGAGAGAGAGAAAAAGAGAGAGAGAGAGAGAGAGAGGTAACTTTTATTGTGATTTGGGTGAAAGTTTACAGAGCAAATTCTTTCTCTGTACAGCAGTTCATACACATTTTGTCTCATGATATTGGCTGCAATTCCTCACAATGCAACAGCTTTCTTCCCACTTCCTCCCTGTAGTTATCTCTTCCCTGTGTCCTTCCCTCCCATGCACTTCTGCCTGCTGATCTGTCTCCCTGTGCGTACATCGACTTTCTGTTCTCCAAGTAGTGTATCTACCTGATGTAAATGTTCAGCCTTTATGCCTATTATTTAGCTGCAAGGCCACAGGAGTGAGTTCAATTCCAGTCACCAGGCTCTATCAGGCCAGCAAACCTGATCTTTGCCTCCATGTCTCTTGTCTTTTTTTTTTTTTTTTTTTATTTGTTTTTGGATGAAAATTTACAGAGCAAATTCACTTTCCATACAGCAGTTCACATACACTTTGTCTCATGACATTGACCACAATTCACCACAATGCAGTATCTCCCCTCCTACTTCCTTCTGACAGTCACCTCTTCCCTGTGCCCATCCCTCCATGCATCCCTGCACTCTAAGCTGTCACCCTGTGCATAAACAGCCCTTCTTTCTCCCATGATTGTTCTCTCCAAGGAGTGTATCTACCTCAGGTAAATGTTCAACTCATACGCCTGTTTTTTATTTGGCTGGAAGCCACAGGTGTGGGTTCAATTCCAGACCTGAAGGGCAGATAGGGGCCATAGTTTCAGTGGCTCCACCAACCTCTATCAGACCAGTAAACCTGGTCCCCCCCCCCCCCCTCTTTTTCCAAATGATTTTGAGTTTTGTTCCACATTGTTCTCCCTCTCTATCCAAGATCTCCTACATAGATTCCCCTCCGAGTGGTTGATAGTGGTAGCTGGGCACCGTCTAGTTCTTCTGGTCTCATAGTCGTATAGGCTGCAGATCTTATGGTATACCAGTCACTAGAACTAAATCTTTCCATGAATCTTTGGTTTTCTTCATTCTTCTTTGCTTTGGACAAGGAGAGACCCATTGTTACATGTAGATGGCTGCTTGCAAGCTCTTAAGATCCCAGTCACTACTTGCCAAAGTAAGAGGTGTAACAATGTTTTGTGTAGTACGTTATGCCAATTGAGCTTGATGTCCCCTGTGACTGTGGTCCCAAGCCCATAGGTTCAACTACTTGGTTCCTCTGGGTAGCTGGCTGTGACCAAGAAGTGACTACAACCTTGTTCCTTGTCAGCTCCACTATACACCTGGGAATTCAGATCATACAAATACACTAATAGGACCATTGTCTGCCAACCAACTTATAATGTATTTTGCATATTGTCACTGTAACTTTTTATGCAAATAAGATTGCATTGGTTCCTTAGTATGCTTCTAGCATTTTTGCTGGAGACAACATGGAGCATGGGGAGATACCATAGGATTTGGAGTCAGTTGTTAACTATGTTGCCTTGGGTATAATACGTGTCCTCATGAAATCTCAGTTACCTCATATGTAAAATTGGTGGGGAGAGGTAAGGATGAGGATAGTTATGCCTCTCCCAATGGTTGTAGAAAATTAATTGCAACCAAATAACATACAAAGTATCCAGCACAGCTGCCACTTAAAGATTATATAATAAATTTGAGTGTTCTTCTTCCTCTCCTTGTTTAACAGAAGTTAAGATAGTTTCCTAGTTAAAACTCCCTTAAAAGATTGATGACAAATCAATTTTATTACTATAAGCCTTTACACAGCTTTCTAGCATTAATTAGTGGCTTTATTGAATAAAATACCTTTTCAAAAAGAAATTTTCTTAAAAATAAGAATTTTTCTCTAAATAATTACAATCTTGAAGGACAAGGGAATTTTATTTGTCATTAGAATTAGAGACAAGAAGGCTTAACTCATTTGGATAAAATTCTAATGAATTAATAATCCTTTAGTATTACACTGAAAGGTAGAAAATAATATGTGAGGCCAACAAAAGTGTCTTACACAATCACAACATTAGAAAATAAGCTCTGACACTCACATCCTTTTGATCCGGATCCTCTTCAATGTGGTTAGTGAAACAGTATAGTAGGGGCGGATTATGCAATAAGCAAGAAATGTGTGATGTTCACTACACATTAGTAAGAAAGCATAGGTAAGCTCATGCTTACTTTTCTTACTGGGTAATCATCCCTGTCAGGGATTGTAAATTTGACAAGAGGCTTTGATTCTATAGGAAGGTGTTGTGGTGTTGGGAGAGAAATAGAAGCCTAGAGGCAGAATATTTGATGTGGTGAAAATGTGAAATTGTTCACTACAGATAAGTAATTAAGCACAAGTAAGCCCATGCTTACCTTGCTTCTTGAGTATTCTGACACTGCAATATAGAATAAAATAATCTTAATTATAAAATGCTTTCTTAAGATTACTGAGTTACATGCAACAGGTCTCATTATATTCTGTTTTAAATGAGTAACAAAGAGCATATTTTCATGAAATCCTGACATGAATTATATTCTTCTTTCACTTATGACACCATTCACCCACTGCCTTTGAGTTGATTCTGACTCATAGCAACCCTACAGGACAGAGTAGAACTGCCTCACATGGTTCCCAAGGCTGTAAATCTTTAAGGAAGCAGACTGCCACATCTTTCTTCCATGGAGCAGCTGTGGGTTCAAACCTCCTTTTCCCTTATGATAAGCTCATTAAAAACCATAAAAATGTGCTAATTAATCACATGTGGAAGATAGAAGTTAATTATTTTTATAATTATAATAACTGATTACAGGTCAGAATCAGGGCAGACAGCTATTCAAAAGTTCTAGGATAAGATGACATTTTGTGAAGGATCTGGCCCCCAGGGTCCTCTTTGGCAGTGTAGTGCCTAAGGCACTTGACTGCTAACCAGAAGCCTGTCAGTTCAAACCTACCAGCCACTCCTCGGAAGGAAGATAGGGCAATCAACTTCCATAGAGATACCGCCTTGGAAACCCAAAGAGGGGTTGCTACAATTTGGAGTGGACTCAACAGCAGTGAGGGTTGTTTTTTTTTTTTTTTTTTTTTTTTTTAGCACTTCTAGAGAATGTCATGCACAGCCTTTTGATTCAAGAGGCAAACACATGTAGTCTGAAAAAAATATCACATCCATATCAAAATGTCATATTCAATATATAAAACACTGAGGTAATTAGGTGCTCACTGTCAACAATGAAAGATCAGAAGATTCTTAGCTCTTGAACTAGAAGATATCTAAAGTTGCTGCCTGGAGTCCCAAGCCTTGCTTTTTCCCAAAGCTCAGGGAGCTTAGTGGTTAAGAGTGCATATGGCTTCTAGTCAAACTTCTTGTGTTTGAATTCCAGACATTGCATTGCTCAAGCATATTGTTGTTGTTGTTGTTATGTGCCATCGAGGTGGACCCGACTCATAGCAACCCCTCCTTGCATTTCCGAAGCAGTATCACTATGGAAGTAGATTGCTTAACCTTCTTTCTGAGGAGTGGCTGGTGGGTTTGAACCACCAGCCTTCTGGTTAGTAGTCAAGTGCTTTAGGCACTAGGCTACCAGAGCTCAAGCATATGCTCAAGCATATCTCTCTATTTTATCATCTGTAAAATGAAACCATCAGAGCTCCCTTGTAGAGTTATAGTGAGGATAAAATGAGAGAATCCACAGAAACTGCTCTGAGCCATTGCCTGTCATGTAGCCAGAGCTTAGTATGTGTCAGGTTTCATTATTGCTTAACAGTTACTCTATGACTGAGCAG